GATATCTCCCTAGGGGCCTATTTCCCTGGATTTTTTCTCACCAACAACCAAATGAGGCCTCAGAGAAGAGGAGGTCGTAGCTGAATTTGCCGGAGCCCATGGAGATGACAATGTGTTACTCTTAATTTGCTAGTTGGTGTCACTAAGTGGTGGAGTGCGCTTGGTGGAGGGATTCATCGCCTTCAAGTTGTTCCTGTGATTTAGTTTTTCTTCATCTTTGCTTGTAGACCATATGAAGCTTGCTAGCTGCAGAGCACTATGTATCTCTTAGCAGGTTTGTCTTTTTGTTTTTGTGGTTGATGCTGTAATCCTGGTCGGTTGATAGCTTTTTTATTCAAAGCAGGGGTCGACTTGAGCCTTCGTTCTAAAAACAACTTATTGCTGTGGGAATTACAGTAAAACAGATGACGGGATATACTACTACTGAGGGTACCTGACTAAACAACAACCAATAACCAAGTGCAGTTTTACACGCTTTAAGTATAGCAAACGAACAGACAGCCAAACCAAGTGGAGTGGCAGTAGACTAGAGAGACCACTTTGTTTCCTCCCGCTCACGGTTCCACTGTTCAAACTTCGCCCTGCGCTTTTGCCCTCTATGCTGCCGCGTAGTGTGATTGTTTCGTTTCATCTTGAAATTGGCTCATGTGCCGTTGAGATTTCCAGGAAAGAATATATACTGATTATGTGTAGTTCCGAAATCGAAAATGGCTTACTATATGGTCTACAACAGACGATAGATGTTAAATTCTACTCCCTCCGTTCCGAATTACTTGTCTTGGATTTGTCTAGATACAAATGTATCTAGACTCATTTTAGTGCTAGATACATCCGTATCTAGACAAATCTAAGACAAGTAATTCGGAATGGAGGGAGTAAATGAGAAAACAAAACCATATAAGATCAAACCAACAAAAGCAGAACACGGTAAACTTTTCAGATAATACAAGAACAGGTCCGGCAATAATATTGAGCACAAATAGCAGCTTGTACGCCTCTAATAGAATCCTGCACTTGACAGGCCACTCAACCAAGCAATAGTACTATATCGACCCACACACTAATGTCTGACAGCAAACCAACATAGGAGCAAACTAACGACACATGAATGAAAAGGTAAATAATGCTTGCAGTAAAACTACCCGCGGTTCGTCACTTCTTCTCCTCCCGCTCACGGTTCCACTGCTCAATCTTGGCCCTGCGCTCCTCGCTGTTCTCCCTTGCTGGAGGGCTCCTTCCGCGCCGCGGTGGGCTGCCACCGTACCTGCGCCTCGGTCCATCATCGTACCTGTCATGCCTGCCACCACCTCCACCCCTCCCGCCACCACGGTAACCGCCACCACCACCACCGCGATAGCCACCCCCATCACCTCCACGGTAGCCACCACCACCGCCCCCACCACGGTAACCGCCACCATCACCTCCATCGCCTCCACGGTAACCGCCGCCACCACCGCCACCGCCACCACGGTATTCATCCCGGCCATCACGGCGGAAGTCACCACCACGGTCACGGTTGTCCCTCCTGTGCTGCGGGCTGGGGCTGCGGCTCCTCCCGTGGCTCCTCCTGGAACGCCCACCATATAGCTTCCTCCTGAGCTCCCTACCAATCTGCTTCACGTGCATGAAGTTGCAGTAGCCGCCACGGTTGCAGCTGTTCTCCTCAAACTGCCTGCAGGTCGCCTCCCGGAAGTCTGTCACAGGGGAGTACTCCACAATGATCGGGCGACCAGAGTAGAAGCGGCCTTGGAGGGCATTGTGAGCAGCCACTGCCTGCTCTTCCTCCCTGAACTGGACATAGACATTCCCGATCATGTGGTCAGCAAGGTTGTCGCACACATTCAGGGTCTCAACCTCACCAAACTTGCTCAGCTCCTCATAGATATCCTCATAGAAGTCCTCAAAGTGCTCCTGCATCTTCTCTGGTGCAATAGCCACACCTTGGGCATCAACTCCAGGGGTAATCATATCAGGCCGCTGGTACATGTTAGCAAGCACAATAGTTGGCGATGTGGTTGGCCTGTTGTGCAGACGGGAGCAACGGTCCCCATGACGGCAAGCTCCAATCTTGAAGTAAAAGGGGCAGTTGACCCTATCCTTCTCCGTGCCAAAAATTGAAGCCAAGTGCTCCGCCATTGTTTTGGGAGCACTTCAGTTGATGCTGAAGCTGCACAAAACAAAGATAAGAACGGCATCAAAAATTCTTATCTAGAACAAAAGAATCTATGTGCTTAAAAATACATTATTGGGTTCTCTGGCAAGAACAGGGAGCAAGGAATACTGGAATACCTCGATTAAGGTCGTCATAGTGCATTACAGAAGACAAAATATCGAAGGGAACATATAGGATTAAACCAACCAGGCTCACAAGACCTATGTATCTTTTTTAATATCACCAACATGTACAATTCCTGTGAATTTACCCCTGTAACGCTCACTGTTTGGTTGGAACATTATAAAGCACAAGCTATTCCCAGTCCATTTTTAACCTAATCTGCACACTTATTCAAACTCGTTAATATTATAACAACAAGCTGAATAGAAAGAAGACCAGAAGAATCATGATCTACTTCAGGCATCATCAGGACTAGATCTGCTCCTAGTAAACTGATCAATTTTTTAACCTATAAATCTGCACACCGTTGAAAACGGTTAAACCAGAAATAAAGAGATGAAGTGTTCCTCCCACTAGAATGTTAGTGTTTCTCCCCCTGCAACTGCAAAAAGAGACCAAACAACATAGCACAAAAGAAGTAACTTTTTGCCTGTTGCACGAGGGCACTCCTTCTGGGTTGCAGGCCTTGTTATATCCGCCAGACAAAGATTACTATTCGATCCGTTTTAAAACCTAATCTGCACACCGTTTTAGAATATTAATCTTTGATTGAAGAGAACAACCCGAAACAAACAAAAAAGAAGAATCAACCAGAACGGCATAGATGCACACATAATTTAGAGCAGACTGCAGCATACATTTTCACAAACCTCTTGTAATCCAGTAAAACATGCATCTAAATCATAAACCCCAAGCTCCACTAAACAAGGCCACTGGTATACACCTGACCTAAGAATCACCCAGGCATCCCTTCAAACAAGCACTACTAGCCCCACAAAAGGATTCAGCAAAGAGCACTCAACAGCAGCAGTAGGCAAGCAGAAGCTGTCGCAGCATAGATGATGGCTAAGAATATAACAAAAACACCCTATTAGTTAACCCAGACAAGCATCTACTGCCGACCATAAATTCAGTTCCCCTTAACATCAACAGTATTTCAAAATAGAATTTGCAGAGCCCTACATTCAATTCCCATGTTTGTTAATCTCTACATATTCCTAACTTAAACTCACAGCCCAACAGCAAAATTTGGAGAGTGATTTATCTGTGCAGAAAATTGAATACAAATTCAATTTCCCTATGCCCTATTATAGTTAATATAACATATAGAATTTGCAGAACCCTAGATGCCTAGATTAAGCATCTACTGCTGACCATAAATTCACTTCCCCTTAATATCGAAGGTATTTCAACATAGAATTTGCATAGCCCTACATTCAATTCCCATGTTAGTTAATCTCGTATTCCAAACTTATACTCCCGACCCAACAGCAAAATTGGGGGGCGATTTATCTGCTCTACAAATTGTAAACAAAACCAGTTTCCCTATGACCCATCAGTTAATATAAACACCATAGAATTTGCAGAACCCTAGATGCCTAGATTCATTAGGATGTTATTTACAACAGATTTTGAGGATCAATTTGTTTGCTCTAGCAATCTCATGGGGAACACCTATGATTCAATTAGCAACAAATCTTCCAGCACAGAAATTACAAAACCCTAGATTCAATTCCCCTATCGCCCAACCTCGGGTCATTCCAAGCCTAAATCTCCCGAACAACCGATTCGGGCGCAACGATCTATTTGCTTTCGAGAGACGTGCAACACCTACTGCATCAGACATCTACCAGGCGCAAATCGACGAATCGTCCACCCAGAACACGCAAAAATCTACCGCGAAACCTAGATCGGCCGCCGAGAGGAAGACGGGGGACAGCAGACAATCTGGGGGTCGGCCGGACACGCACCTCGGGAGCGGGAGAGCGGCGGCAATCCCCTCGATCGATCCGGCGGCTTCGCTGCCGCGGCCGGGGCGGGGCGGGGACGGGGGAGGCGCACCTGACCTGGCTGTGGCGGCGCGGCGGAGGAGGCAGAGAGGGGTCGGGATGGATGGGGAGGGTGCGTGTAAATATAGGCTGGTTGGGAGGGTCCGCACGAGCGGCGGAGCGCGTGGCTCGTCTCTGGCCGTACGATCGGTGACCGGTGGCTGACGTTGGCGGATGGGTTTGGAAACAAATTCCAGGGTCTTGCTTTATTCATCATCTACTATCTACTACCACTATAAAAGAAAGAGAGGGACAAATCCAAACAATCCCACCCATTCATCATCAAAATCTAATGGCCCTTAATCATTCTGTATTTAACGCTACCAACCACGCAACAAGGCACGATCGATCGCTAATCGCCCCGCACTAAAAATCGTCCCGCAGTCAAAAAAAAAGAAAAAACCGCCCCCCGCACGACCTCCTCCTCCTCCTGCAGACCGCCCCCGCTCCCCCCACCCCCTCCTCCCCGCAGCCGCGCAGTTCGCCTCCCGCAGCAGCGCCCTTCACCGCTGCCTCGCGCCGCGGGTCGCCGGGACGGGAGCCCGTC